ATCCGATTGGGTAGTTGAAGGAGAGGCGCGATCTGATTGGGTGGACAAAGGAGACACTTAAAGCATGAAACAAACAAGGAAACTACAGGTATCATCATGAAGGCGTGAATTGGCGTGAATTGCAGAGCTTTCAAGAAAACTAGAACACAATTGATGTTCTTAAAAAAGCCAACGTTGCACACATGGGCGATAGAAAAAATATTTGCTGAAACTGTTTGCGTTTCCTGTTGGTATCTAATTCCCCAAGAGCAAACATGGTGTCTGTGGTATATAAAACTGTTTTCAGAAGATAAAAGATACATTCCACTGTGCACTCAGGTTAGTTTATGTAAAGCCTTTCTCAGTTAATGGCAAGAGAAACAGACTCTGGAGAGATCTTTGGAAAGTGACTGTTGGCAACAGCCAGACCTCACTGACACTTCTGCAGATGTTTAGGTCAATGTCTGAAACAGGATTTAATAATCACCATCCTGGCACTTACCCCTAGCTTTAGTGAGGCTCCAGATGTACTAAATACAGTGTTTTTTCGAAAACAAAGCTCATCTTTGACAAGAACAACACTGTAATAAACCCAGAGCTAGGACAGGATGTTCCCACACCAAAGACAGTATTTTTTTTTAGTATTCTAATATTTGATATCAGCTGAATCAGTTTCTTCAACGTTCCTTTATTAGAAATTCAGTGTGACTCAAATCAACAGGGACATGTGGTTTTATTTTGACACCATATAGGACAGAAAGATTGACACTGATACAATTTTTAATTAAAGAGTAACTGCAACACTCATAATACCGCTAAAAGAATCAGCACTGATGAGTGTGTTTTAACCCACAGTAACTGAAAAATGTGCACAATAACTTGTTACAACTTTAAATTTACATCACAAAATTGAAGAAATTTCCAGGTATGTGCAGCACCGTGTTCTGCGATTCAGAACGAGGCAACAAAACTTCCAGTGAGGTGAAGCAGCCCTATTACACTGTAAAAAAGCAGGCTTGTGAATCCATCTCACTTAACCCAATAGACATATTGCTCTCGACTTCGAGACGGTTTTGCCAACAAATACTACTTGTTAACTCTGCATGTAGATCATGTTGGAACATTTCTGCAGTGAACTGTCCACTGCATAACCTGCACTTATTTACTCGTGCATCACAGTACATCAGTCAGTAACTAGTGAGCAGGAAGGGCCTCAACACATGGCAATTTCTTGGGAACTCGAACGCGTGTTTGCGACTGCATG